TCAGATTTTTGCCTAAATGAAAAGGAAATCCGCTCAAATAAGAGACTTGGTTTTTTATTTAAGCTAAAATCCGATTGAATTAAGAGTATTTTTTCTTTTCGATGTTTTTAAGAGTCCGGACTCTAGATCCAATGTGTTTTTTTTTCCAGTGCTACATAAAATGTATGTCAGCAGAGTAATCGAGCAAAAGTTTCAATTTCACTGGGGCTCTTAATGCACAACGGTCAAATGATATAATTGATACCTAATCGATCGTATTGAATCAGATGTTTTAAAAAAATGTGACCCTCCTTTAATACTAGTGCAAATAGAGGTATTTATGCCAAAATGAGCTGTAAAATAGCTCGAAAGCAAGCGCTGGATCGATAACTTTCTCCGACGTAGGTCCGAATCCCTTTGTTCTGTAACTTCGTTTTCTTCTAGTCCGTCTCTTTTACGGAGTAATTTTAATTCAGGCTCCTTCGAAGACCGCTGGCTAACCGCCACTGAAATTTTTAAGTAACTATCCTCCGTATTTGTTCGAAATGCATTCATTATCAAATTAAATCGTTCGGTCTCAAATTATTCGTATGTATTGAGGCTAGAAAAATGGGGGTACAAGGACGATTTGGCAGGAGACCTAAAACTTTTGGACGAGGCTCCGCTGTCCGATGGTTTTCCCTCCTAACGATTATCCTTGGAGGAATTTTTCGGTTCAATTATTTTAATAGCATTCGGCCGTTTATCGCTGTTTTCTCGATTCAGATTTATTTTTTAATTTATTATCAGTCTCTCGGCCTACCTATGCATTATTTATTTATAAGCCTGTTTGGTTAGAACCGTAGTTTTATTGCCGAGGGGGTGGAATTATTTAGGTTATGGCTTATGTGCGTCTGATACATAAAAAACACAATAGAAATAAGGGCGTATATAATAGGTATGTGTAGCTTTTTCTTGCTGTAAAGTTTGGTCGCCCCATTTTTCTTTTTTCTTTTTTTTCTTTTTTCTTTATTCTTTTTATTTCACTTCTTGTTCTTATTTTCTTCTTTTCTTTCTTTTGTTCTTTTCATTTGTTTTTTCTTTTTTCTTTTTCTTCTTTTTTTTCTTTTTCCCCCCTTTTTTATTCTTTTCTTCTTTTCTTTATGCAAGCCATTTTGGCAGACTGTTTGACTCACCTACCCCTGTAAGCTAACCTCTCATCCCCTCCTCTTAATTATGGAAGCCTGCCTCCATTCTCCTCCCTAAATTTTCCGATCGCATAACGCAAAAAATTTAAAAAATTACTATGAAATTTTTATTAATTGGAATTTTTTTTTAGATAGTGAGAGCCCACATAAGCCTGAACCTTTCCCCTCACGAGGCCTTCTCCCCTAAATTGGTTTACGTAATACTTAAACGGCCCCTTATTTGAAATTAAACTTGCATTGTTTGTCAGTTGATAACGCCTTTGACTTAGGACACAAAGGTCTTCTTACTTTATTTGTTACGCTTTTCCGGAGACAAAACGTTTCAATAAAGAAAGTGAATTCACATTTAACCTTTACTGCATCATTTTTTAGAGGAACTTGCTACACCCAGAACATTTTACTTCGGATCAATAACCTTGATTCTTTGCCGATGTCGATACTTTTCCATAATGAGCTCTAACCAGTGTCATCAATGCACGAATGATCTTTCGAATTTTTTCATGAGCCACAACGGAAGTGAGGGTAATTTTACTCTAACGTTGGCTACACCGTGTCTGTCGGCGCGACGAGACGGCTGACATTTTACGGTTGATGGTGTTTTGATTCGATGCATTTCACCACACCTTTATTTTGCGTGCAATTGTCTCGAGATGAAAAAGATAAATGCCACCCGACTCACGACGTTAGACAAGTATAATAATCAGATGGAAAGCATAGTTTAAACGTGCGGTGAGATCGCCAAGTAATAAATCACGCATTCGCTACGTCTTTAAAACCTTAATCTGCCAGCTTTACCGAAAGAAAGGATGCCTCAAATTTTGCTTGAACTCTCCTTAATCGAAGTAATCATTGCCTTTTTACTATAAATCCCACTGCGGAAACGCTATTTCACGTTTCTCTTTCTGCCACACTCGGTCTAAGTGCTCAAAGCAGTTACCAAAAAAATAGTATGTAGATAGTCCACGTGCGTGGATACGTTCATCATTCATTCAAGCATCAATAATTCATTTAAGAATGTAGGTACGTCATTTTTAGGATGAGCGAAAAAAGAATAGGCATTGTCTGCATACTCACTCTAGAAAGCATTACCTACGTATCCGCCGAAAAAACCATGGAAGGGAATCATTATTTTTATTCGGTATTTACTTTAAATTATGGGGACTTGAATAGAACAGACATGTCATCATCAAAACCGTCTGGTTTAGTTTCACGTAATGAATTGCAAGGCAATATTTTCAGATGGTTTAAGATTCAAATCTGCGAATAGACAACTCTTACTGCATTGAGGCTGCTCTCTGGCCTATCTTTGAAACTGAAGGCGGAACAGCAATGCGCGCAACCTCCACACCCACATCTCCAAAGGTCGCAGTAATAATATCCCTTCACAATAAAATTGATCAATCTCTGACTAAAATCAATGGAAATATTGTTTTATCGTTTAAAAAGTAAGGTTTTTATTTTATTTTTTTATTTTTTATTTTTTTTGCTGGCTTATTGGCCTCTGTTCTGTCGGGAGCCTACACTGCCTACATTCATCTACAGAGTAGATAGACATCAGGGCTATAGGGACGTCCATGCTCCAGGCTTTTCAAATTTTCAGGGATTAAGGCCGACAAGAACCTGAAAAATAAGGTAAAAGTAGGTAACTTAACACCCTCGCAGATCTCAGCTTATTGTGAAATTTGCGACTCCTGTTTCGACTGACACTACTTTGCGAAACACAATGAGCCAAAAATAACAACCAAAGAACGGATGGAAGGAGGGGCTGGATGAATTCGTTCAATTACTGAGGCCAAACCGCAAAAAATGTGTCTCGCGGAGCACCTCCACATTAGATAATTTTGGCACGTCCCAAGATACGAATCTTGGATCCATCGCGATTTCCTCTCTCCCTCCTCTCCTGTAACACTGGAGGAACACATTTCCCTGCCCCCTCCCCTCCGGAAACAAGGACACAGACGCAGCATCGTCTTCCAATCGTGACATGCAGCTGTGTATCATGTCCAGTTTTAACTTAACCGTTTTCTCAATGTACCATGCCTCCCGAAAGCCACTGCAGGGCTTCGACTCCAGGACTGCCAATGTGTGTCGTAAAATTAAGTTATTTTCGAGGGGAGAATTTACGTTGTTTTTTAAATGTGGCAACTTTTGGAGTCCGATGCCACACAGCTAGTAAATGCGCTGAGCGGTTTCACAGTCAATAACGCAACGCCTCGGTTCCTTGGAGGATTTACATGAGTTTTTTGTTTGGTCTGCGAGATTGGATTTTCAGAGGAATTTTGACGAAGGGGTTTTGCTTAAATTCTTCAAAAGAAATTTTTTTAGAATGCGCACATGAAAATAACTCTCACCTTCTCTGGCGCCAGCGCTAAATTACCTCGTCATATCTATCCGCTGCCGCCGTGCAGAGGGAGATAGATTTGTCTTTTACGCGCGAACTGACAGACTATATCATAATATATTCCTATAATATAAAATGATGAGAGTAACGCGTATTATAATAAAACGTATTATAATACATAGCACCTGAGGCGCGAAGCACTACGGAGGGTCGGACTGCGAAGCTGACAGGGGTTGTAGCGCTTCACGTATTAAGAGAAATACACTTATAAGTCGTCAAATGTGTAATCTGTATGGATGAAAAAATGTCGTAATGTACTATTCTCACTCAAGAAGCAGGAATATTATGTCCTTTAAAGTTGTAATATTCTTTCTTGCCGCATCAAAATTTTCCTCTAAAGTAGCCCATTTTTATTAAAAAAAAATATTTATTTGAATGGAACATAACTACCACAAATTAACGAATTGTGTGTAGGCATATCGTGCTCATAATGAGATATTAGTACTCCAGAGCTAAAAGGGACTTAACTCACATTCTTGAAAAAATCGAGTTAGTGTTGTTTTGGAAATCTCCAATAACGAATCCGTATAAATGGAAAATTTGGTAGTCCTTACGCCGATTATGAGGTAAAAAATTTCAAAAATTACGATTTACATTGCCACATTGGAATCAAATGGGCCTATGCACGATTATTCCCTGATACCTCGGAATGACTAAAATGGAGCTGGGTACCTTTCGACTCGAGGGCACTGATACAAAACCTGGAATGAAAACTAAGTGTAGATTGATGATCACTCAACAAAGGGTCAAAAAAGATTGTCTTTTCCTAGGAAATGAGATAGCTCCATCGCTATAAGAGTGGACAAGCTTTCGGAAAAATACCCCTTGAAGTCGGGCAATAATTTTTCTTTGTTCGGTCTTTCAATGCAGTTTAAGGAGAGTATTTTCGTTAGCTCCCACTTGAGTGAATAGCTGTTGCGTCATCTTTATTGACCACCACGGGATCAATTTCAAGAGAAGAAGGCAGTATGGTCCCGTTGTCAAGGAAACGAAGAGTGGTGTAAATACACGAGGGCGAAATACCCCTACGGGACGTAGTCGCTGGTCTAGTGCTTCAAATTCCTCTGCGGCTAAAAGACAAGATGGATGCACATGGGGGAAATGAATTTCTTACTGCAGCTTGGATTATGCGATTATCCTCGAAATTGCGTCACTCGTTCGGAGATAAAATCGACGTATTATGTGAGCTCTTGCTCCCTAATCTTTCTTGACGAGGCTTATGAATTTTACTGTTCCATATGGTAGCAAAACTTTATGAATATGAGATTCAAGGTCCAACATTGACACTCTGAATCCCCCTCCGTCAACTTTTGGAGTCATAAACATATTAAATGTGATTGCATAACTTTTTGCACCACTTTATTACTTATTATTTAACGTAAAATTATTATATGCATTGTTTAACTTATACATTTTCCTTTTGTTTGTTTCAGTGCTCAAGAATTTCACGATGAACCAGCACCGACTGCCATGCTTGAGACCCAAGGACTGAAAAGTCTTTAGATGAAATAAATAAGCACGCAAATATTCATCAAAAATTATAATAATTTAAAAAAAAAATGCTTCGAACAATTCCGATCAACGAGTTTTCCCCTAGAGTCAGGTGGAGCTCACTGCTCAAAAATAAAGTTGCTCACTGTCACAACGTCATCTCGCGGACGTTACTATTACTACACTACAAAAAGTTAAATCTACTATTAAAGCTCGCGGTATTTGTAAATATATATGTTAGTTGTGTTTCCTGTATACCTGTAATAAATGATAGTGATACTCATGTGATATATACGACAAATCGTAATCAACTTAGGATAAGAAGGTCTCCTATTTATGACGATGTGGTGAGTACTTTCATTTATAATATTAATGTTTCTGAAATCACATTCTGAACTCTTTCCCTAAAATGAGGGGCTCGGAGAACGAGGCGTATAAGCGTAGTCTTTGAAGTGTTTGAAGTTTCGAAATTACATGGATCCTTATGGCGGAAAGAAAGTTCAAACTGACTTTTTTGATGCTTAAAAATTGGAATTTGGGAGCAAATTTTTCATAGAATATGCATTCTGACTAGTTTTACTCGAAATCATTACTATCTTAAATTTTTCAAGAACTGCACTTATGCGCCTTGTTCTTCACGCCCCTCAAATATCCTTTAAAATTGAAGGTCAAGCTCAAATACTCTGAACTCTTGCTTAAAAAATTGATGGCACAGCAGTGTATCGAAAATCCAGGGTAGCGGGATCTTTTCCTGACGGTCAAATAAACCAGCGATGCGTCGATAAATCTGAAGTTATACTAAATGTTGCTTCACCCAAAACTGAAAACAGTATAATCATCAGGTATACATTCTAATCTCAAAGTTGCTCAAATTTTCGGGTCATGTTATGCCTCACCACCGAAAAATACTCCAATCGATCTTGGTTCGTCCTACCTTACCCACGTTATCAAAAACTGGCAGCTTTTTGTAACGTGCCTTGTGCACAAACTTCAGAGCACCGCTTTGAAAACTTTGTATTTCAATTACGACTCGTGCGGATGCACGATGCACTACGTGCGCTATCTGTCACTTTGCCCCCCCCCCCCACGTTCGAGACGTCAACCGCCGCACCGCACAGTGGACCGAGTCAATAGGAGAAGTTAAACAAAATTTGGAAACTTTGAACACTAGGGTGGCCCACAAAAAATGAATTTCGGAAATTTATAGCCGTAACTCCCTAAATCGGTTACAGCATGTTCAAAAACACGGAAAATGAAAGTTGGGGTCAATCGGACAAAATTAACCCGACGCGCAGTTGCCATTTATCCCCGCTAAAATAGCGAATTTTTACTGTCTTTCAGTAATTTTTCGCTCCCAAAAAATAAAGTCGGAGGGGTTTAAGTTAATTGAACAGAGGGGAAAATTAGTTCATAGACTACACCCTAGTGAAGTTTTGGTCCCCCTCCATGCTTTTGACCCGACGCGCGGTTGCCATTTTCACGCATGAAAATAGCGAATTTTTGACTGTTTTTGATGATTTTTCCCTCTCGATAAATTAACTTTACAGATGCCTAAATTGTAATCAGAGTGTGAAATTAGTAGCTTAGATGCTCCTAATGCTCCCCTTCTGATAATTTTGACACGCTGCGACGTTGCCATTTTTCAGAGCAAAATCGTGAATTTCGACTTATTTCAATATCATCTCTCTAGACCTAAAAAAAAAAACTCAGGAGCCATCGAAAAAGTGCGCTAAAACACGGTGATTATATCATGAGTATCTTTGTTGAAAATTTGGACCCTGTAAAATGTTGTAGTCGGCGTGAAGTTACCACTTGGCAAACAGTGGTTGACGGTAATAGTTACTTTTCATACGTTAATGCGCCTTCAATTACATTGGATACCATGCAATACTTTCGTGCTGGAATAGTTGTATTGGCGCCTACAAACCTAACAGGGATACTGCATGCATTGCGCAATGAGTGAAGTATCCCTGTTGGGTTTGTAGGGGCCAATGCAACTATTCCACCATGAAAGTATTGCACGGTATCAAATGTAATTGAAGGCGCATTAACGTATGAAACTTGACTGTTACCGTCAACACTCATAACTCCGTTTATACATTTTGAGTTCTAAAAATGGTTTCATTGGTTTTCTCGTAAAATTACCTCCCAGAAGCACTCCTCAAAGTTGAGAATAAGACGAAATACATATCAAACTTTGCAGTTTTAGTCAAAACTTTCATGTCCGACCTGTCCAATTGACTCGATCCACCGTGCGCCGCGCCGGTCACTCAACATTTAACTATCACAGCGCGTCCGTCGCTAATCACTCAATAGGTCACTCACCTAAAGAAGCTTCCGTTTGCACCAGTCTGTCTATCGGCATCGGGTTTACCTTTACGCTGGTTGACTCACTTTTTTTCATCCTCGCATTAAGAGAGCATGTATCGGCGTAGAGGGAGAGAGAGTGGAGACACGATCATAGTTAATAGTTACGACATAATTTTAGGCACGTTTTCTCGGTCGTAGCAGAGCGACTCTATTTATTCGACGTGGACGTTGGCCGTGCGTCAGGACTCAGGACGTCAAAGAATAGTCATAAACCAAACAGAGTTTCGCGTAGATGCAATTGTTTGTTCTTACTTGCTAATTTTGCTGCTTGATATTTATGTCAAAAATGTGTCATGAGTTTGAGCGATAAAGTAACGAATGGTGATCAGGTGAGAGGGCAAAGGTTTGAAATACTGTCTGGCAATATCGAATTTCGAAGGAATATTTTCGGAGATTTTTCGTGATTAAGATGTGAAAATCTTACTGTAAAATATAGACATTTTCTATAGATTAAGTTTACTGGTAAAGAAAAAGAATAGAAAAAGAAAAAAAAAGAATCTTCTTAAAAAGAATTTAAACTCAAGTGAGGCATAATTATTTCATTTATTATCATGATTTTATTAGTTGATAAAAAGTATTGATTTTGTAACTCAATGGAACCCTCTAGATTTAAAATATATCAAAACGAGTATAATTCTTTTTAATTTCCAACCATTTACAGCCATTTATACAGCTACTTCATAGTTTCTCGCGCTTCATAATCATTTTTTGGACAATTTCCTAATTTCTTGGACGACAGAAATAAAAAATAATGCCGAATACATTGAAAGAAAAACTTGAGAAGTGTTGCGTACCAAAATTGGTGCGGCCAACGGCACTATACATTTCTACTTTTTGTCTCTTTGATTAATGACATGTGTTTTCGACGCAACTGAACTGAAGAGGCGATGACACGCCGCCGCGGTACGGCGTTGACCGCGAGATTGCACTCTCTGCATGACATAATTAATGCGGCTCATGTGGGCATCAACTAATGACTCAATTGCCCATTACTGCATCTGCTGAATTGAAGAAGCAAAAGGAAATGAAAGGAATGTTGACTGTTTACAAGAACGAGTGGGTAGTGAACTCATGTATTAGCCACCGTCTTGTAATATTAATGTGTAACCGTTCACGGAAAAAGGGACCATAGTTTAAATTGGCAAAATTCGTCGCTTGGTTGACATAAGGGCGTAACTACACTCAGATATGAGCGCGGGAAAGCATTGAGTTATATGGACAATAGGGTTCATCGCAAGGTGTAGTTACGCCCTTCTGTCAGGAGGGCGACGAATTATCAGTCGAGCAACTTTCGTAGAGTTAGGTAAAAAAAATTTTAAAAAATGATATCCACGAAAAACTCTCTCTAAAATCTTGAAGGATAAAGTGCGAGCCACTTACGTCGCTTTTTATGCCAATAGTAAGCGTGAAAGAGATTTTATAACGCGCCTTATACACGGAGAAAAAAACTTCGTGCGAGGGACCCGAAGTTTAGGTCACATGGATCTCTGAAGTTTTCGGATTGAGCATCTGAACACTTTAGGTCCAGCTGTTGAGGTTTGGATCACACATCTGAAACTTCAGTTCTTACATCTGAAGTACTTCGGTTTTCACATCCGAAAAACCTCGGTTCTCACATCTGAAGTACTGCAGATGTAAGAACTGAAGTTTCAGATGTGTGATCCGAACCTCAACAGCTGGACCTAAAGTGTTCAGATGCTCAATTCGAAAACTTCCGAGATCCATATGACCTAAGCTTCGGGTCGCACGCACGAGGTTTTTTTCTCCGTGTATATGACGGTTCAGAATTCCAGGAAGCTTTTTCCGGAGACTATGTTTTATGATTTGCTGACTTCAACTTACTAAAGCTCCAATTTGGTTTAAAATCTCAGAGCATTTTTCTCCCGAGATATACGTAAAACATTCTTGGCGATCTCGTATCAATAATTCAAATATTATTTTGTTTTTGTGGAACGATGTCTGTCGTTTCGCAAACGGTGTAACGAAGAAAAAAGAAGAAGAGAGTATAATTGATCTGCAGGATATTTATCGATTTTGTCATTTTGTCAAATGTTAGAGAGAGGAAAACTCTTTTCTCGTAAACCTCCGTGGGGACTTTGTCACGTTAGTCACGAGTCCCGTTACCAACAACATCGAACATTCCCGGAGTCAAAAGACTTCATAAACAAGAGTTCTGTCTTTTAAAACCCATTCATAACTGAAGTTAGTCGGCCAAAATAATCAACATCACCTATTAGATTAAAATAGTACCAGACGTCGGATGTCATGCAACAAGAAACTTTCTCTAAAATTAGCAACAAAAGTTAATGCACTGTGGCTCATCTTGCACCTTCGCTAATGCTGCACTTAAATTGTTGGCAACTACAATCGTTCCAGCTTTATGAGACGAGTCATGCGGGTGTCAAAAACGAGTTTACCGGTCATATCGTGCTTTAAGTCACTCAAAATATGGTTCAAATCAACGCGAAATCCCAGTTTTAACAGAGACATTCGACAATGATAAATTTGTAACAAGTGCCCTGATGTTCTTTTATTTTTTCACATTTTCGATCGCATTATCAATGAACTTTTTATAAATTTTTTAATCACGAAGGAATAAAGAAAAATAGATTTGGAATTTTTTTTTCCCCGCTAACGTGCGTTAAAAAACTCAGCATTTAGCTGAAAATCCCCTCTGTATCCCTGCTGTTAT